TTTCGCTCCTTTTATTTGGTTTTACTATAGCGTCGTAAAACTGGAGACGACGCTCCTGCGCTCTCGATTTTCTTTACAGATTCCCTTTTACTTCCTCCGAAGCAATGCAATGACTATACCGCAGATAAATGATGATTCGTTTCTTTACCATTTCATTCGACTGCATTATTTGTTGGTTCAGCCTTATCGCATATTAAATAATTGTGAGGTTTTTTACATATTTTGCAGAGCTGGTCTTTTTTCCAGGAAAATTTCGACGTATGTCTACGTTTCAGACAAATGTAACATCGCCCCTGTGATTTTAACAAATTTCTTTTTTCTGTTAATGGTAAAGGACATTTATGTGTTTCGTGAGATTTATCAGAACTAAAACTACATATTTCATTCGGTTCGGCATGCACGCTTTTGAAATGTTTCGAGTTTTTCTGATAATTTTGACTCGTTCCTCTATTACTAATAGGAATTTCGTTTCGCTTAAAGTTTTTTGAATCTGATAATAAAGAAGACCCTTCTCTTATTTCTACCTCTTTTCTCAAAAACTCAACTAAGTGCTCTATATCTAATGATTCACGCGATTCGCGTTGTGTACTGTAAAGCAAATTTAGCTCTTCTGGAATTTTCTGTAGTATTACCGGGCAAAGTAAACTACTATAAGTGTTTGGTGCAACACCTAAAGACTTTAATGATCGAATATGAATCTCAATCGTATCATACATTCTTCGCAATGCTGGAATGTTCGCCCATGCCTTAACGAATCAATCAGCAATAGTTTATTCATGTGCGAGCTTATAATCAAATCTAGCCTTCCGAATCTTTCTTTTAACAACTTATTTGAGGAATCATAATTTTCGTTTGTTAACGAAAATCCCGAAACTGCTGATAAGACAGTACCTTCCAAAAATGTTTTCAGATACGAAAACTTCTCAACCTTATTTAACCACTTGCGCTACGACTAAACTTCACGGTTATGGTGCCGTGCGCTACAATATAAAAAGCGATAAAGTGTCTCATTTACGCCACTCCGCGTCTGCGAGTGTAACTCGAGAACTAAACAATCTCGTTGTTAGGCGACGTGTGCACAACGTTATTTTCATTTTTGCGATAAATGCCTATCAACGTGTTCACGTCGCTCGCAGTTTGAGACAAAAGCATATCGACGTGCGTGGCACGTCTTTTCAGCACAAGTGGTTAAGGAATTGTTATTACGAATAGCTACTTCGTAGGAATTCCAGAAATCCAACCAAGAGCTACAATCACCATAAAACTTCTCAATACTTAATTTCGGAAGCTTAACTACACTACTTTCGTTTCTTACTTCGTATCGTTCCAACCTAACATTTTCATTAACGCAAACTTTAGTTTATTTCAAAATACTTTTTAGTTTTTTAGTTTATCTCTGTGTTGTATTGTATGTTAACCTTTTGAGGCCTGGGCTTTGGTAGCAGTAAAAGCTACCAAAGGACGGGGAATCTTGAACCGAATGCTTTCCCCCCTTTAAATCACCTCCTATTTGCAACAAAGATTCTTGTGTGTAGTTTAATGGATTCTCAGAGGGGTGCATCTATGTCGCAAAAGGAAGATCTTTGAAAGAGATAAGTGGTTAAAACCCTAGGGACGTCAAATTTGACATTTCACCCCACTTTTAAGCCTGGAAAATGGGGGAAAAAGACATGGCCACTATAATGGCCATCCCGTCTTCAAAAGGTTAATAAATATAAATAACTTATATTCAAAACCTGCGTTACTATTAATCTAAATTGCATTAATTAATTATATCAACACAACTGACTATTTAAAATTATAAACTGAACGGTAATATTAATTAAAATATCACTTTTCTTTACGTTATTATAACACTTTATATCATATATCTATAATTATTTTGCTTCCTTAAGGAATGGATTTAGGAACCTGGAAGTTCATTATCAGGAGGTTGACTATTTATCAAGTTACCTTTCAGCTCTTGCCTGGACTACATTATAATTTTTGGTTTCTCAATTTAAAAGTACACACAGCCATATTTACCAAGATTTTACTTCTCTGATTATAGTTCGACCGTCTCAAGCGCAACTCTGGTTGGCATTCTGCCAAAACACACAGACTTGTCCAAAAGGGGCGGTTATTACTTGCTGCGACGTGAAAGGTCTTCTCTTCTCCGGAAAGAGCTATGCTGGAGGGAAAGAAAGCCCCCATCCTTCCACCCTATTTTGAGAATAATTCGGTCCCAATGGCGCATGCATGTTTGCGCTAATGGTCGCGGATGAGGTGGGGGTCAAACTATACTAGCACACGTTTTAAACTGTTTATTTTAAAATAACCATATTTCTTGTTTATTTAATCTAAACCCCCTCTTCCAAATGAATTAGATCATAAATTATTTAGCACTAATTCCTTATTTTACACATGGTGCTCTAAGTACTAATACATTACTCTGGACGGTAATGTTCTTTGTTTTGATTGAATGAAAAAAGGCCTAAGAACTACAATTCTATGATATTCATAGGAAACTTATACAGTACACTCCCGATTATCCGCGAAATTGGGTGGCGCGGCCGCCGCGAATAACAAAAATCGCAGATAATCCGAATAAAAGCTAAAAACGGGTATAACAAAAGAGAAAACAGTCATTCCAACTTTGAAAAATCGTTTTATTTTACACTTTTCAATTAATTATTTTACGTTTTATTGTACATAAAACGTAAAATAAACAGTAGGAAACGCTTAATATTTTAGTATCACTCAAAAATAATCTAATAGTGCATTTTGTTAATGAAAACAGAAAAAAGCTTTGTACTTACGAGAGGCGTCAAGGATACACAGGAAAATTAATACATGTGTACTGTTTTAATACTGTAATGTATTATGTAATTACAAAAAGCATAACTGTAAAACTACTTTTTTTTTGAAGAAATCAGTCATTTGTGTTTGCTTCTTGCTTTGGAAGCATTTTCTCTTGATCCGAGATTGCATTTTTTGTAGCACAATTTTCTTGGCCAACTCCGCGTCGTCTTATTGTTCCAAATAGCTCAGCAGTCCGTCGACTTATTGCAAAGCCGCTTCGTGAGTCTTCCGCATCTGCACAGTGGGCTCTTCTTTGCCTTCACTTCGCTGTCCTTCATTCTCGGTCTCTCTCTTTGCTTTCTTCACAATTTCGTCATCTGTCAAGCATTTGAAGCCAGGTTTGTTGACGTCACACTCCAACCACTCGTTAATGTTTTCAGCATCGACGTTCTCACCCCCCGGAACTGTTTTCACCATATCGGCAAGAGTTGCCATGGGCGTCTCTACATCTTCATTCTCTTCTTCACAACTCAAAGGGGTTAGGTTGTTGTTGGCTTCAACATTAGGCATGAGTTTTCTCCATGATTTTATGAGGGTTTGATGGTTTCACCGAGTCCCATGCAGATGCAATATCGTAGATGCTGTCCAAGATTGTGTAGTGTTTCCAAAACTCTTTCAGATGATAACCTTCTTCAATTTTGGTCATTAGCAGCTTGGTTCGGTATGTTCTCTTCATTGTTGCAATGACTCCTTGGTCCATGAGTTGGATTAGCGCAGTAACATTTGGGGGGAGAAACTTTGCAAAAATTTGTCCATCACAAGACTTTAGCACGCTTGTTGTTGGGTGAGAAGGTGGGTGGTCGATCAATAGCACAGCTTTTTCAGGCAGGTTTTTCGATTTAAGATGTTTATGCACTTGAAGAACAAAGATTTTTTCGAACAATTCTTGAAAAATGTTTCAGTTCATCCATCCCTTTTTTTTTTTTTTTTTTTTTTTTTGGTTAAAGTAATCAACGGGCAAATTTTCTATCCTTGTGCCTTTGAAAGATCTCGTTTTTTTTTACTTTCCAATGACAAGTCTAAGTTTATGTTCACCGGTAGCATTACTGCAAGATATGATAATGATCCTTTCCTTGATACTTTTATGACCCGCTACTTTCAAATGCTAAAGTGCGAGTGGGAGGACATTTCCACAAAAGTCCCGATTTGTCGGCATTGTAAATTTGTTCAAAAGATAGCTCTTCTTCTAAAACAAATTCTTCAAATTCATGGGGGAAATCGTCGGCTGCTTGTTGGCCACCCCTAAGTTTCTCCTTATGAAGTCCATGTTGCTGCTTAAAACGAGTCAACCAGCCAGAAAATGCATCAAAATTTCCTTTCAGTCCTAACAACTCAAAAAAGGTTTCTGCCTTCGCCGCAATGATAGGACCATTTACAGGAGTACCCTCTTTTCGAACTTCAGCTAACCACTCTTTCAATGCCGTGTCTAGCTAATCAAAGGCTTATAGTTTTTTGCGTGTTCATTGCGGAAACACTGTCCGACATTGCTGCAAAGTTCATCAGTTTGTCTTTTTGCTTTAGAATGTCACGCACTGTTGTTTCCGCGATTCTGTAATCCAATTCGATCTGCTGCCTTGTAGCGCCGTTTGCTACTTTGGAAATTAATTCTAGTTTTTGTGCATCGTCAACACAAACTTCTTTCGTTTTCCTGACATTTTAAATCAATAACGAAAAACGCAAAACCAAAAAGCACAAGCAATGAACACAATAAAAGATAAGAAATTAACTCCGATCGGTTCGCAAACACTATCAGGCTTAAACTAACAATGGCGAGTGGGAGAAAGTGGACGTGTCAGTAAGATTAAGACGAGAGAGGGCGGTGGAGCGGGCTGTGCAAGGGTGAGTAAGAAATCACTTACCACGAGAAGGCCACGGGGAAGGTTCCGAGAAGGCCTGGGATATTTTTGCCATAAATAAGCACGATGTTAGCAAATTTAACGTTTCTCTCAATTTTGTGAACATTTTTATTTTCTTTGCTTTTACGCTTGTTAAAAAAAAAAAAAAAAATGTGGCAGGCGCGGATAATCGGGAGTCTACTGTATGAAATTGATGTTTGAAATAAATTTTATGTTGAAGTATGAATATTTATCATTAGAAAGCATTCAATATTTCTTTAAACATTATTTAGAATTTTGTCATAAAATAAATATAAAAAACAATACATCAAGAACTGCAATTTATTAACATGACAAAATAATTTTCCAGAAATTCCAAAATAGATAGAAGAAATTAATTATCTATAATTTCAATATATATCTTGGATGTGATATATTAAAATTAGCTTCATTATCAAAATCATATAATAATCTAATAGCTTCAGAATAATCAGCCCAATGAACATGAATTCTTCGTTCCATTTCATCCACCATATCCATGATTAGATCATATTCTTCTGTTGATATACCTGAATTTTCAATTGTAACATTAACTAAACATTTGTGCATTCGTATGGCTTCTTGAATGAAACTGACACTTACATCAGTATTTCTAAAATTCAAGCTCCTTAATTTCTTAGGATATTTCAAAATAACTTCATCGATTTGTTCTGGAAAAACACAAAAATGCATGATAATTTCTTCAAGATTTGGACTTGATGCTATAACATACTCAAACAAATTTAAACTTTCTTTTGAATCAAAAGTAGCAGTTTGAAACTTTAATACTTTTAGACAGGGAAAATTTACATGCATTTCATCTGAATTTAATTGCTTAACACCTTGAAAAATGGGTTTCTGTAAAGTTAATGCCTCTAAATTAGGACAACACTTGGCAATTACTTCCGCACTAACAAGAAAGTTAGATAAATTTAACTGGCGTAGATTTTCCCCACGTATTTGCAAAAACTCATTGCTGCATAAACTTGGAACTATTTCACTACAACTCAAATAAACAGTTTGCACATTTTCAAAAGAATTGCACAAAAATAACTGCTCATTTGACAGGATTTCAGTTACTACTAAATCATTTACCATAGGACACAACCTTGTACAAACTTTTAGAATTTCAGTTAAATGGTTTTTTGGTCGTAAAGAATTATTAATTATAACAATATTGCTTAAATTGAAGACTTTTTCTTTTTTCTCTGCTAAAGGATCATTTAAACCAGTAGCTTCAAATAATGCTCTTGGCACATTACTGAAATGCAGTTTACTAATAGATGGGATGCTTTTCAAGACACAAGCGACACCTTTATAACTTGCAGATGTACATTCGACATTCAGGCTTTCAAGACAAAGTTTCTTTTCACACAAATACATCAATCCTTCATCAGTCACGTTTTCACATGAGTAAATATCCAAGCTTTTCAAATCTGGACAATTTTCAGAAATTATTCTCAATGACCTATCAGTACAGTTAGTATCTGCAAGTTCAAGAATTTGAACTTTGGTTAGATGACTAAAAAAATAATCTCTGCTATAGAAATGCTTTATTCCAGCCATGGAAAATTTAATGATGACCTGAAATGGAAAATAATGTAGTTAAAGATGGAAAATTAAAAAAAATCAGGTAATGAAATAATGTTTTGAATTAGACAACAGATTGAAGCAATATCTGAAAATAAGTATATTTATTAAATTTTTTAAGAGATTCAAAATTATAATTAATTTTAAACAAATATAATTTTATGAATAGATGAAAAATTGAGAAATTAGGTCAACACTTTCAGACATACTACCTTTTAAAGTAGGAATTCAAACAAACAAACAAAAAAGAGGATAGGCAGTCTAATCAGGCCTTGAAGAGTACAGAAGCAAAATTTTGTAAACATAGCAGTTACCATTTTAATTTCGTGAGTGTGCCTAAGGCAGGCTGACTGAATGAATGGAGCTTCGAAAAGAGCGCTGAAGCAAGCACTGCTGGGGAGCGCATAATAGAATACAAGATTTTGCCTATGATTAAAAAACACAAGATTTTGATTATCATAGCAGAATATGCATTACACAGGTTACACCATGGAAAGCCCTGTACTCTACATCTCCCTAAAAGTATCTCTCAGCTCTCCGTTTCAGATTCACTATCTGAAGGAAATTCCTTTAGCATTTCAGCACTTAAGAAAAGGTTAACCCTCTCCGATGCATTTGCAAATTAAAAATCAGAAAAAATAAACTAACATTATATATATAATAAAGAAAATATAAACTATACAATAAAATTAAATATACATCTACAATTCAAATCTATCAAAACTTCTTTCAAAGCAAGAGAAAAAAAAAAAGTAGTGAAAATCAAAGCCCAAACTGATAAAATTACCCTGACCTTCAGCAAAACTTACCAACAATTTCTTAGTTGATAACCAAAACTCTCCCCCCCCCTACAAAAAAAGAAAAACCAGAAATGAAACAGATCTTCACCCATCTTTTTGCTGTGAATGGGCTCACCAAGGAAAATTCTGCAGTGAAACTATTGGTCTGGTGTTTTAGTGATCCCACTCTGTGCATATCAGATATTCGGAATTCGATTTTAGGCAATATTTCAAGGTAAAAGTTTAAAACCAATACAGAATAAAGAGGTACTTACGTGTTATCGCAACCACCTTAGTAGAAGTCGCCAAATTTTCAGAATGTGCCAAACTTTGGCAAGCGTGCGTGTAACAACTCCCCAGACAACCATTTTTATAACAATCTTCCAGTCAAGCAAAGTCGCCATTTTCTTATGCGTTTTTCTTGTTGTATTCCAAGTTCCAACGGTTTCTATAAACTATAATATTTTGAGCCTTAAACTTAGCTTTAAAATATGCGCTTGCGGAATTTGCCAGCAGTACAGAAAACTTTGGTAAAATTTCTGCAAGAATACAGAGCTTTGCCACAAAGTCTCTACAGGAAACAACGAAGAAATGCGTTTGATAGATAGCCGGTGTTGCCGAGGTTTATGCGATGAGTCTCTGCAATTCCCTGATGTTTTTTAAACGAAAAGAGATCACTGTGTACTTGGGGGAAAAGAATGTCGGAAAAAAATTAAGGAAAGACTTGAAGACGAATGTAAGTGTTTTATTTTTAAATTTATCATGAAATCCTTATTTAACAACTCAAATTTGCATTTAAAATTGCTAAAATATGTTGACTACTTTTCATATGTTGATAATGTTTGTTAACTTAGATAAACATCGATAGCTTGAAATGTTTTTGAAAAAAATATGGTGAAAATCATCAACTTATACCTCATTAGTAACTTTTACCTTTTCACCGGTAATAAATCGCCAAATTACGCCTAGGTGGTTGCATTGATACGTAAGTACCAATAAGGATATCAGGACACAAACAAGAAAATAACATAGTAATTTCTTTTCAAACAATTCTTTTTATGTCTTAAAAAAATCTGGAAGATCCTTTGAATTTATTTCTTTCTTTGAGGATCTTTAAAAACTAAACATGGCTGAAATATATAGACTGGTTTGTGTTATGCTGCCATCTAGTATTAACCCTCTGAGCGGCATGATCGTCTCTATCTGATCATGAAATTTTTTGTTACTTGATACATATTAGCTTATAACTTAAGATAGTTTGCTTTCTTACTTTCTTTAATAATGTAAATGTAATCTTAATGAATGCAAGTTTATGAAAATAGAGGCTAAAGCAAGTCTCTTCCCCCTTCCAATGGCAGATTGTGAACAGTTACAATGTAACACAGTTCATTAATCTATACAAGGCCAGATGTGGTGGTCTCTTTATTATGGAGGCACCTAATAGATGGGCCACTATCACCTCCTATGAAGGGACGGACAGTTACAGCCATGCCTTCTCCAGGATTCGAACCAAGGCCCTTCGGTATCGCAGTCAGGCTTCCCTAACCACTATACGGTCTGGGTGACGGCTAAAATATGTAATTACCTAAATTTAGCTAATAAATGCTGCATAAATACAGGTCTTCATGACAGATCCAAAAACCCGTGCCACTCAGAGGGTTAATAAAAAGGTTAAAAGTAACCCATAAAGCCTTTTCTATTCAGTTTCTCCGTGGATACGGAGGGAGTTTGGTGTGCCTATATTGGGTACGATGTGCCGAAAAAGGTTAACGGAGCAAAATTATTTATTTAATAAATAAGGAATCTTTACGGTTTTTTATCAATCAAATGTTAACGTGGATAGACAAGACAAGTTTTAATTTTGCTGTAATTCATTATGAGCTAGCTCAGTGACACACATAGGATGAAACAACAAATTAATTAGGGCAAACAGATGTTGATTAATAGTTGAATTTATTGCGGGAAAACACTTTAGATTATTTGCCTTTAACCCATTAGCCGCTGATGTTGCATTGATGCAACGGTCAAAATAAATGCGTATATAAATATAACTACCTAAGATATTTTACACCAGCAGATTATTTTGTGTAATGAATATCATGAAGATTATTTTTGTAAAAAAATATTTGCTTTCAACAATCATTTTGTTTATAATTAATCTCATATTTTAAGCAAAATTTTCAACCGGGTATTTTTGCTGAAAATATTTAACAAAAGAATCGCCGTCTTTACGAGTGATCTATTTTTAGTCAAGGTCACCATTTATTAGAACATTACATCAGTCAGATGTTTATATTTGTGTTGGGAAGGAAGGGAAAACAGGTGGTTGCGTTGACGCAATGTCAGCGGGAAACGGGTAGTCAATCTCCTTTTTCACTCATTCCTTTCGATGTTCTGGTTGTTTAAAAATGCCTAGAACGAGGTATCTTACATTAGAAGAAGCCCTTCAAAGATTTTTTGATGAAGAAACAGATGATGATAATGTTAATAATGACCAGAATGAAGCTGATATTGTTGTTGTTTCCCCAGAAATTGCAGAGGCTAGTGATGAAGAAGAAAGGAATGGCAATGCTTTAAATATTGATAATGATATTTTACCAAATGATACTGCTGGGGAAGTTGAAATTCACGTAAGAAGTAAGTTTCAGCCTTTTAAAAGCATTTATAGTCATTGTTCCGATGCACCAGAACAGAACAACTCAACCTGACTTTTTCGCTTTTTAGAACTATGCCAAAAAAACATTTTTAATTCAGTTGAATAGTCAGACTCAGAAGAACGCATTCGCAAGGCAGCTGGAATGCTGTCTATTTTTCACTATTTTTTTTTTGTGTTCTCGTGCTTATACGTTTTATATGTCATTTTCTTGTTTATACTTGTATTGTGCAATTACTTAATATAAGTTTGTGTTTAAAACGAGAACGGGTATCTAGTTCCTTCACATTACATCGCAACAGTCATACTAAAAAGTTTAAAAAGCAGAAGACTGAAATCTTGAAGTGGATAAAAAAGGAACTGTTAGTTATGTATCAGGAAGAACTATGAAGAAAGAGATAGAAGAGAAATTATAAAAGACAAAACACAAGGTAAAACTAGTGCACAGATTTTCAATTTTCTTTTTGGTTTAGAAATTTACTCTCTTCTCGTTGAACAGACAAATATATACGCTAAGCAAAAAAAAAAAAAAAAAAAAAAAAAAAAATTGCCCAGAATTTATTGCATTTGAAACCTATATGAGAAGATTTATTAGAATATTATTGCTAACAGGATATTCTTTACATCAAGAAAAAATGTATTGGTCTTTTGATAAGGACATTTCTGTTCCTGTTGTACGAGAATTGATATCACGTTTGCAGTACAGGAATATGAAGCAGAATTTGCATTTGACAATAGTCAAATTGACAATACTGATAAATTATATGAGGTGAGACAGTATCTAAACTTACTAAATATCACCACTTTTTACTACTGAAAATATAAAGACTCTTTTAGATTTCAGACGTGAGAATGCATTATTCCTTTTGCAAACTCCTATCGAGAATGTAGAATTAGCCAGAAATTGATCAGCAACAGGAAGGCCTAGTAAATTCAGCATTCAAAAACCACTGCATGGAGATGGTAGACATTTTATAGTAAAGTCCGTTGATAACAAAAGACTTTGTTGTAAAGAGTACCATAGCCAGACTGTTTATAGATGCAAAGTATGTAATGTAGCTTTACATCATGATTGTAATCAACCTTTTCATGCTTGAATCTTTCAAATGAAATAATCTGTATTTGTAAAAGAAATACAATGTATATTTTAATATTAAATTAATTAGAAGTAAAGTGATTTGTAGATTTATAAAACATTATACAGCTAAAAAGTAATCCTGTGCTCCACTCAAAAGAAACATCACACGAGTACAATCCTACTCACTAAACATCCACAGTCTTATTCCGCTGACGTTGCGTTAGCGCAACACTCGCTTTTTCCACAGGTAAGAGCATTTTTTTTTTATTTTCAATTTAAAATTATGTTATAAATGCTTAATTTAATATTTGTTATTTTCATGAGAAAAGAAACATTCCTTGTTGTTTCAGCGTTAATGGGTTAAGGAATACATTATAAAGGAGGTTTTAGGAAAAAAAACTAAAAGCATCCATCCAGTCACCAAGAACCAAAGCCTTATCACTGCTTTACACTTAATAATCACTAACTTTACAATTCATGTTCATGGTGTACAATTCATGTTCTCCATATCATGTAAAGTTGCATTTTAAAGCAGCCTTCATTTGTGCTTTCTTCATGAAGACAAACGTAAAATGGAAATGAAGTTGGGGGGGGGGGTTAAATGACCTGGCCTTTTTTTTTTTTTTTCCAGCTTTTATTCTTATGGTTATTAGTAAAATCAGTGAACCTCAAAGTTCCTGTTTTAAAGTAACATACTAAAAGGTGTTTTGCCCTAATCAAATAATTTAATCCAAATTTCATTTCCAGCATATCATATAGGATACATTTCAGTTTCCCTTCGAAGGCCCAGTGTTTCAAATATGATACGGATGCAAAGTGGTCAGTAGCCCATAGTACATCCGATATGCTGAAATGGAACATTTTATTCAAAATTTTAAAAGTGCACAAAAATATTAGAATATCATGAAATTTAATTAAATGTAATATTTTAGTGTTTGCCTTGTTTTAATGAACATCATTTACTATTTTATTCTCTGAAAGTACAATGTGTGATGCTTAGAATATATTGCTCAGAATCAGAAATGTTTTACGTGAAAAAGAGCAGCTTTATTTTCTTTATATAATTGTGGCAATAGATTATAATAGGCATAGATATTTGAATTCTCAATAATTCCAGTAATTAAGGCATATTCATTAATTGAATGAATATGTCATAATTGACAAAACAATTATATATCATCGTATAATAGATCAGACAGTATTTGTTATCTGTGTAGTTACCATATTAAATATAGTTTGCTTTAAAGCATTAGTTATTTATTTATTAAATTTAAGTTAAAACTATATGGTTATAACTAATGAATATTTTTTTAATATTCAACTGTTGAGATACTAAATACAGTTTAAAAGCATTTCATATCATTTGAAAGAAAGGGGATATATAGATATTTTAAAAATAAAGTCTAAATTGAAAAAGCATTCAATGGAAAAATTTTACTGACCTTTCCAACATCTTCGAGTCTTTCACTTATGGCCTTGAAATCACAAAATCTAAGATTCTGTAGATCTAGTTGCTTTGTGTACTTGTTAATGAAAAAATTCAAGTGCTCATTTTTCACAGATCTCTCATCTGCCAGCTTTTCCAAAATTTGATCACAGTAAAGTTTCTCTGAAATGAATAAAGTTTAAACATAAATTTAAAGAAAATAGAAATCATATTTTATCACACAAGCCTTATACATCTGCATCTACATGGGGGGGGGGACAAAAACACAGAACTCCAAAGCATGGAAAAAACATAAGAAATACCTTTTACATAATTAAATAATTTTTTAAAATTATATTGTTAAATGTATAATTATGCTAATCACCCCTCCCCAAAACAATTTTTAATACCAACCATGGCTTTTGCATAATTGTAATGACCTTACGGATGAATAAGGCACCATAAGGAAAACGACACCAACATTTATTAAAAATTAACTTTCAAAGAATAATGGTAAAGAAATTAACATTTAAAGAATAATGGCAAACTCGGAGCACTACCTCGCTCCTACAACATAATTAATCTACCACCTGCCTCCTCTGAGGATAATATGCAACTCTTGTCTCTCTCACTTGCTGGGCTCTGCCAGGCAGCTGATTGGCTCACCGCTGCCAGATACATGACACCCCCCGGTAAGATTGTGCTACGCCAAAGCGAAGCAGAATCTGAAAACTGAACCAGCAAATACAAACTTAAATTGTATACTCCACATACCAAATTAATTCAAAATATATGAACATGTATACATGATGTAATAACATACTTTGAAATAAATGCAATAAACATTCATCTCACAACAGATGAACAGATGGCTTGATACAATACCGGAGTTCTGTAATAAAACATATAGGCAATACTATTTCAAAACACACTATTATAATGCAATATTAAATGGAAACCAGTAATTTGATTTTCAAAACAGATGGAAAGTAACTCTCGTACAATTCAGGAACAAAAGAAAGTAACTAATGCAAAGTTTTAAAACATTAGTTCATACTTAGTTCACAGCTATTTTATTCATCCACTAGTCTTGAAAGACCATCTGCATTTTTTAATTGTGCACCAGGGCAATGAGAAATATGAATATTATAGCGCTGAAGTGCCATTGCCCACCTCTGTAATTTGGCTGAATGCGGTGCCGACTTATACAAATATAATAATGGATTATGGTCTGTGATCAGCTCGATATTCGATCCAAACACCCAACACTCGAACTTTTTTAATGATCACACAACGGCATAAGCCTCGCGTTCAATAGTTGACCAGTTCTGCTGAGTTTTCGAAAGTTTTTTGACTGGCAAAGCTGATAGGATGCAAACTGCCTTTGCTGTCTCATTGTGACAAGCAAGCACCAACACCATATGAACTAGCATCACACTGTATGGTGTAAGGTTTTTTCTGGTTCTGGCAGTGTACAAGTTTTGGTGCTTCACACAGTCGACGTTTCAGTTCTTGAAATGCTGATTTCCTCAACATCAGTCCATGGAATTTATCTCAGGAATTTTCTTTTTCGTAAGCTCCGTCAATGGGCGAGCTATTTCTGCATAATTCTTTATGTAATCACGATAACAGTTGAATAAGCCTAATGCACTCTTTAGAGCAGTCTTTGTTTTAGGACTCCTTTTATAATTTCAATGGCTTGTAATTTTTCAGGATCAGGTTGATGTCTTCCAGCTCCTATTATATGTCCTAAATACTTTATCTCCGAACGTGCAAAAACACATTTCTTCACGTTCAACCGTAAACCTCTGAGATCACTTAATGTAGTTAGCACAGCATCTAAATGTTTGAATGAAGAGATGCAGAATTCCAATCTGGTGAAAAGATAGCAATATCATCAATATATGCTTTGTAAAAATCACTATGTTTTCTTAAGGCATCATTCATAACTCGCTGAAAAGTAGAAGCTGCATTTTTTAATCCACAAGGCATCACTTTCCAACGATATTGGGAACGATGTGTCTTGAATGATGTTAAATCACGACTTTCTTCTTCTAAAGGTATTTCCCAGTAACCTTTCAAGACATCTAAACAGGTGATAACATTCGCGTGTCCAATTTTATTGATTAGATCAGTCACATTCTCCATTGGAAAATCAACAGGCTTGGTTACTTGATTCAACAACCTGAAATCAATACATAACCTCATACTTCCGTCTTTCTTGGCAACACATACGACCAGGTATGCTATTTCAGCTTCACTTGGCTCAATAAGACCCAAGCTCTCCAATTCCTCGATCTGTTTATCTACTTCAGGTTTCAAAGATTCTGGGATCTTATAGATATATGGCTTTTTTCTTTCAGCTCCAGGTAACAACCGAATTCTATGTTCACCAACGCTGGCTATTTGGATCTCCCCAGAAAATAATGCGATGTGCTTGAGTAAGAGCTCGTGTAATTCCTTTTGTTTGCTATCCTCTAAATGACTAATATCCACCTCGATGTTCCTTCTAGTTACTGCGCAATCTCCTTTATTTGAAGTGGTATGAATTTCCCCAAACTCAGAATCATCTTCAAATATCACTCCCACAGTTTGTGCTCGAACATAAAATTTTCTTATTTTGTTCACATGAACATGCCTCACACTCCCATCGGGTAATTTAACTTTGTAAGAATGAGGATTTACTCTTTCAACAATTTCACCTGGACCTGTCCACCTAGCATATAGCTTGTTGCTAGAGTCTGGTATAAGTAAATATACTAGATCACCATTTTTAAATTCTTTCAAACTTTTGCGACGGTTAAAATAATATGCATAAGCTTCTTGATTTTCCGCGGCAGATAAAGAAGCGAGCTCAGATGCTTTCTCTAAATTTATCTTTAATTCTTGTAGATAATCAACTGCTGAATTACTCAGATTAAGAGGTAATGGTATTTCACCGGACCATGATGATTTTAACACAGCTAAGGGACCTCTAGCTTCACGACCGTACATAAGCATAAATGGAGATACACCGGTAGTGCAATTTGGAACTTCACGATACGCAAAAAAAGGTATGTGCTTGACCCAATTAACAGGATCTGTGCGAATTACATGATGTAACATTTGTTTAAATACCCGATTCCATTTTTCCACTGAGCCGTTTGATGCTGGGTAACCAGGTGTCGAAAAACGAGGATGAGTTCCTAACCTTTTTTCGAATTCTTGAGCTTAATTGTGAGGTAAAATTAGTGCCTTGATCACTATTTCTGGAATTTTTTTTTTTTTTATTATTAATTTATTTCTGGAATACCGGTTCTCATAAAAATATCTAAAAGAGCCTCACAAGTAGCTTTAGCAGGAAAGACTTTTTAAAGGTATGACTTCTGGCCATTTTGAATGATTATCTATCAAACACAAACAATATTTATGTTTCCTTCCTGAATAAGGTGAAATTTCACCAATAATACCTATATTTACTGTATGAAAGGGATATGGCGTGCGAACAATAGGAGTAATCGGAATTTTATCCAATTGTCTTTCCGGACTTTTTAATTGACATCTTTCGCATGTTCTACAATAATTTTCTACATCTTTGGATATGTTCGGCCAATAAAATGAAAGCTTAATTCTTTCTTTAGTTTTCCTCATACCTAAATGTTTTCCGAATATGGAATCATGAGCTAATTGAAGGACTTTATTTCGATAATTCTTGGGTAAAACTAACTGTTGTATGTTTTCCCCACAAATTTTTTCTTTTTTGAAATAATAATTCATTAAATAATAATTCGTCTGTAAAAAGAAATTATTCTTCCCTACTTCTGCGTCCTTAAAAGAATTTATTAACGTTTGGCAGTTTCTCTGATCGACCTTAAATTTATTCGATTCCGAATAACTGTTTAGTCTTTCATCATTCTGATTCGCAACTGAGCTATAAAAAAGATTTACATTTGACAGTTCAACGACGCCAACCTCAAGTTGTTTTTGTTCATGAGTTTCCTGTTTCGTTTCAGGGAAGACTATTATTCATTCTCGTCTTCAAATATGCGATCCCATACATCTGGTGTAATTAAACATTGAACATTTAGCTTATCTGTCAACGCGAAAAGAGCTTCTACGCGCGAATATAGACAACTGTTTGGTTTTTTGTAATAAATGGGAATAGTTGCTAACGTTGCCTCTACGACGTCGCCAAATGCGGAACTTAAAATGATTTTACCCTTACTTTCTATTTTTAAATCAGGAATTAATGTAGTGTTCAAAATTGGTATTTCCGTACCTGAATCTTTTATAGCTTCTACTTGCTTCCCTGCAATGTAAATAGTAATCTTTTCTAAGGAATAAAAATTTAGTTTCCGTTGGAACACTCGGGTTTTTGTAAATGTTTAGAATTTACATTTGTAACAACCGCATTGTCCTTCGACTTACTTGAAGTGTTAACTTTCGGTTTGACCGGGAAATTATCGTTCTGTTTATTGGACCTCCCAAATTTATTTCGCCTGTTCGGGCAATCCTTAGCCAAATGTAAACTGCTACTACACACATAACATTCTCGCGGTTTAAACGAATGTTTCTGTTCATTTACCACTAAATCTTTTCTTAGCACTGGTGGAATATATTTAGAGTTTTTGTTGTATGAATCACGAAAATCAGCGCGTTTTTCACCTCTTATGTCATCAAAAGATTCACCTTTTGCGATGAAGTAAGTGTCGCATTCCTTCGCTAGTTCTTCTGGACGTAGCCAACTTTCACCTTGTCGAACTGCAACATGGCACGCTAATTCACTATCCAATGTTTGAAAAAGTTTGTCAGAAATTATTTAATTAAAGACTCAAAATCATTGACGTTTCTACTTTTACAATAATGGATCCAACATGATCTTAAACGAGAGGCGAACTGCAAATGAGTTTCCCCCGTCAACCTTTGAGCTTGGCGAAAATTTTCTAAACATATAATTGGCGATGGTTCATATTCCTTAAGAATTAAAGATTTAATTTTTTCATAATCTTTCAAATCATCATCTTTAATATATACTAGAATATTAGAAGATTTATCACCTATCAGTTAAGTAAAATTTCAGACTTAAACTCATTTGGTACGTTCTTATGCTTAAAAGCTCTTTCTATGGAATCAAAAAATAAGTTCCATGCTTCACCCTTTTTAGGTACAGAAATCGATAATGCCTGTACAGCTTTCAAAAGCTT